TCGCAAGCACGCCCGTCAGGATTGAATACAATGGTCGGTTCACTCACACATCGGTAGCAGTGATTCCCAACCTGGCGGAGCGGATAATATTAGGAATGGACTTCCTAGCAAAACGAGGCATCGTCATCACATTGGATGGCCAGCCACTGGCTCTCGCTACACCACCAAAGGTAGGGCCGACACCCGCTCTGTGCGGCCTAGCGGAGAGAGCGCACCTCAGCGCTGTTAGTGGGACCTCCATCGTACCCTCGGTCGGCTGAGCGTAGGTACAAACTGTAGTCAACAAGGTGTGATTGACACTCAGTGCGCTTTCTTGTAAAATAAAAGAAAACTTTGTTTCCAATTGACCGATAGTACATTTCTTATATGAGCACTGCCAAATTCAATCGCACTTTGTTAACTAGGCTTTGGATAGGAATGTGTGTACATATAAAGTTTCCTTTTTCTACTTTTGTAAGTTAATTAATTTTCTTGGGTTTCGCTTTCTGTTTCTTATTTATAAAATCATTTACTTTCGCTGTTTTGCTCTGATTTTCTTTTAGTTAAATAAACTTTAATTAGAATTATATTTTTTTTGCATACTTTTAAAATAACTACGCAAAAAAAAAATTATTTGTACTTTCCGTGACTCACCCAACTTTGCAGCAGGCCGCCTTGGCCTCTTTTCTGGCGGACAGGCATGCATACAATTTTGATAATTTTGGCTGGAGCAGACAGCTTTCTGATACAACTCTGCGCTGAACTGGTTTTCAAACGAGTTAAATGATTTAACTGGTTCAATTTTCCAACAAAAATTTCGTGCGATTTAACTTGTTTATAAACACTTTTTTTTCATTTAACTTGTTCAAACCCATTTAACATGTTTAACTCGTCAATTTGAACGCAGTATTAAACCGTGTAAAACTCGAAACTATGAAAAAGTGGAAAAAAGTAACAATAATTCACAAGGCGAACTTAGCACAGGGCGTAGGCAACTGGCTGAGTCAGTTGGATCGTCGGTTCGAATCCTACTGAAAGAAGTCTGATGAGGAAATGTGGTAATTTCAAAAATAGCTATCACTCCTACCCATTAAATAAAAAAATAAATAAAAATTATTGTTCCTTGTCCACAATAGTTTTTCATATAAAAACGGCCTCGAGCTCAATAAAAATTGTTGAATATAATTGTTATAAGGCCATAAAATAACAAAAACAAATAACTTAAGGACGAGCACACCTAAAAGTTAAACATTCTATAAGTAGAATTATTAACAAAAACCAACAACCACATGATCAAGTGTGAAATGCAGCGCAATAGCTGCGCTTGATTGTGTTGGCTTAACAAATATATGAAAAAGTGGAAAAAAAGCAACGATAATTCACAAGGTGAAATTAGCAAATTGCGTAGGCAACTGGCTGAGTCAATGGGATCGTCGGTTCGAATCCTACTGAAAGAAGTCTGATGAGGAAATGTGGTGATTTCCCAAACAAGCGAATTCATATTACAACAAACACATCATTTTGGCATTCAGAAGGACCGCGACCAAAATCTAAATTCGCCAGTAACACCACCTTGTATAGGGCTCTGTCACACGGTCAGTAATTATCACGATATTTGGATCGCGATCCATATTGATGGATCGCGCACGAATGCTACATGTTCAATATATATCGCGTCAGTATTTGCATAATTTTTGTGCTGAACGCTTATTATGACGCAAGAAAATATTTTTATTTTGTACGCATAATTTGCAGATAATGCATTAACATTTATTTTAAAATTTTCAATATTAATTAAAATTTGTTCAATTTGTTTTGAAAGATTTTAAGCCCCGAGAGCGAAGGCAGAGCCGATGTTCGCATTATGAGAGTAAAAAATGTACTGACGAAATGTATGGATCGCGTTTTGAAAGTGATGCACGCTCAATATTTACTGACGGTATTACGATCATGGTTGCCACTCGCCAACATTTTTTTCTACCAAAATCTCTTGAGAAAAGTTACCAGAAGTTACCCAATCTTCACTACCAAAATCTTCACTTCTTCACTGAGAAAAAAATATACTGAATAACACTCCTATATTTCATAACAAATATGTATATACTTACAGCCCGGTTCTGTGCACTTAATAAATTCAATATTTTTATAATTTGTCAATTTTTGATTATTTATCAAGAGCTCCCAGTTCTAGCACAGAAGTTTAAATCTATTTTCTTGATAAATTATCAAGATTGAAGATGCTATTGACAATTATAATATATTTTTTTTATTAGAAAATATTTTTCTGTCAATTAATTACTGCATGTGCCGTTATTCTCATTTTCGTTGTTGGTGTTTCCGACAGGGTAGGAGTATGATGTAATGTGGAACGATTTTCCATCATCCGTTTTCAAATTCGGTTTGGTGACAAACCGGTTTCGGCGTTGTGCCATTTTCAGTGTAATTTTTCGTTCGGAATGTGCCGATACTTGCACCTGCGACTCACGGAATAATAGCATTTCGAGTAAATTGCGAAAATTGCTAATTTTTTTGCTATTTTTTCGGTTTTTCATAATCTATTGTACGTCGAAACATATGTCGGTAGGTGTCGAAATACATGTCGGTAGATGGGTCTGGTAAAAAGCACGCGACATTTTTTTTTTTGTCGGAATAATCAAAACGGTTTATGGACCTTACCAAAAATTGCCAGATGGCCAGTATTAATATGTGAGAGGGTAGAATTCAAAATGTATCGCAAAAATTCGAAAGTTGTTTTAAAAGTGCAGCCCTTGGTGCTGCCACTGTAATTTAAATATTTCCAGTATTCGAATATGAGATGTCTCTAATTTAATCAAAGTAATTTTGTAAAAGTGTCAGTAGTGCTGCCACTGAAACTCGAAGGGTTTTTATAATTACGCACATTCAAAACATAATTCATTTCTTTCTAGTAATGCAAATAGATGTTTAGTTGCCAAAGTTACCAAAATGAAATAAAAGTTACCAAGTTACCAAACCGTTTAAAAGTTACCAATTTTGGTAGAAAGTTACCAATTGTCGCAACCATGATTACGATCCGCGATCCAGATTTCAAACTTTTTAGAAATTTTGCGATATGGATCACGATCTATCAATACTGCATGCTACACCGTCAATAAATTCCGCGATACTGGGATCACGTCAATAAATACTGATCGTGTGACAGGGCTCATAAATTCGCCTTGGTATAAAGGAAATATCGATAGTCGCCATCAACCATAGATGTTTAGCAAAATTGCAAAAACATCGATGCATCGATAGTGCCACGATGTTTTTTCTAGAGCTCCAAAAGCATCGATATTCGCCGTACTCGATATTTTCGATATTTAAGAGCCGAAAACTCGATATATCGATATATATCGTTAATTTTTAATTCTACAATGAAACACTGAAAAAACATCTACTCATTCAAAAAATGCACAGAACCATTTACCAACAGGAAATTTTATTATACATATATATGAGGTACATATGTATGTATAAACAGTGACCCACACTCAAAATCACACAGTGATATTATTACAGTATTCGCAATGTTTTTTCATTCTATATGTTTTTTCATTACTTTTTTATAAAAGTATAGCTCTATGTGTAACAAAAGCCATATAAACCTAAATTGTAAAATTTTTGGAAAAATTAGAAAAAATTCAAAAAAGTTTCTTAAAAATTGTGAACTTTTGGCTGAGATTTCCATTACGGAACCAATTGCTATTCCGTGCAAAGTATGGTGAATTTTTTTATGAATCTCGGTGGGCATACTAATGGAGGTCTCCTTTAACTATATTTATCACTTTCACAATGTTGTTGCTAATAGTACTTAAGTTATTTGTTGTTGAAATATCCCGCTTGCTATCACCACATTTTATTATAACTCCACACCTATCACTTTTATTTACACAAATATATTATCCTTAAAAGGTTCGCATGCGTTTGTAGTACCTTAATATACAACTATTAATTAATTAATTAAGTAAAACGCGTTAATAAATGTCTTCACAAACGTTTGCACATTTCACAAACAAGCAGAAATAACAATGGCTGACAGTAACACTAAATGTATGCTACCATACGTTAAAAAAATACACCACAAATAAGTGCGTATAATTAGGGGTATAAGTGTGCAATACGTACATTGCTCTTATTCAAAATAATAATATTAGGATCGATAACGGTATAATTTTTTCGGGGGGAAATAATATTTACTGGTGCTATTATAGTTCAAAGTACACAAATGTAGAAAACGTACATCGATAATTTGAAAAATAATGAAAATTTTTAATAAAAAATCGCGCGATTTTTTATTAAAAATTTTTCCCTGCGGCGCTTTTTCCATAAAAATCAATACTTCGATAAATAATGAAAATTGTTAATAAAAAGTCGCGCGATGTTTTATTAAAAATTTTCGCCTGCGCCGCTTTTCCCATAGAAATCAATATTTCGATAAATAACTAAGTTAACATTTTTATTACAAAATCTCTCGATTTTAGACTGAATCACTTTTTTTTATCAATACATCGACATTTAATTAAAAAAAATTAATTACAATGCCCGTTTTTATTGTTTCTCGTTTTCAGTGTTTTTTTTTTGGGCATTTTTTGTTGTGTGGCAGCACCGACATTGTAGTACAATTGGTTTACAAAGCAAAAAGTGAGGTTGAAGTTGGCATTTTTTGCAACTTAAAATTCAATTTTCATAAAAACTATAAGCCTCCGGAGGGTGGGGTTTTCAGATTTACAATCACAAAAAGCCGCTCTAAACCCCCTCATTTTTGTTTTTTTTTAAAGCCGGGTTCCGTATTGGAAAATTTTCCCGAGATTTTTAATAAGAATTGCTCTAAAACAATGTGGTATGCAGATTTTTAGTCTATTAAATCAGTCACTGATGTTGTTTGGCGCAAAAATAAGTAATGAGAAAATGGCTTTCCCATACTCGATATCGAAAAAAATATCGATGTCAGCAAAAAAACACTTAATTGATATATCGATACTGACATCGATATATTTGCAGCTCTAGTTTTACCCACCGCTAATCTACATATGTTGAGTGCCGATTAAGTTATTTGTTTAGGGATTTGTCTATTTAATAAACTTTCACATATAAGTTTTACCTGTGAAAAGCAAAACAGACTTATAACGCGTGATTTGCTCTTTAATTATTCGAGCTTTGTGATAATGATGTACTAAATAAAGAAAAAATATTTTATTAAAATGTAACCGAGTATTCCTACATCAGAAAAATATTTTAACTATTGTTTGATAAAGCACGCGGTGTATGCTTATACGATAGACAAACATATAAAAAGAATTGAAAGTTTAGTTAACTATGGCGAAAACGTATGATTACCTCTTTAAGTTGTTGTTAATTGGGGATTCTGGCGTAGGGAAAACCTGCATTTTATTCCGTTTTTCCGAAGATGCCTTCAACACCACCTTTATTTCGACGATAGGTAAGTTTTATGTCGATGAAATTGGGGAATCTATCATAACATATAATCGTAATTATTTTACATTTACATAATTTGAATTTCAACTCATCATCTAAAGGAGGTCTATGTAAAGTTTGAAAACGCGGAACCTTTTAGTTTTAAAGTAATTTGTTATTAAAGTTTGTAATTTTAACCAACTTGCATGGGACCATTTTACAATATATAATGCACTTTCCACTAAATTTACACGTTATTTACACTCTTAATACTTTTAGTATATAAAGCTTTTTATGAAAAATTGATTGTTATTTAATTAATATGAGAGTACATGCAGAATATGTGTAAATGGCAGCAGGATTGTGTAGCTGTGTGTAATGCTGTACTCCGGGGTTACTAATCTAAAGCTCACCCATAATCCGAGACCGGAAATGAAAATTTTTAATTCATTAAAGAGTTATTTGCAAAAAACACTTGCACTTTTCGTACTCTGTTTTGATGAATTTGATGCAAATAAATGGAGTAAATGAACTCAACACGTATTTATAAGTTTTTGTAAATATTTTATTTATTTATTTATTTATTTATAAGTTGCACAAATTAAGACTAAGTCTTTTGCCTGCACATCAACTGGGAAATGTTTAGTAGCCCACTTATCGTTTTTGGGGTGGGGGGCGGAGGGGGAGGGGGCGATTTTGAATAAAGAATAAAAAAGTTAATTAAAAATAGAAAAAAACAAGTTTTTATAAAAAAAAAATGTTCTTTTTAACATATGTATTTTTGCGTAGAATTCCTTTCGGGTACTGTTTAGTAAGTGGCCCACCTATTTCGGGGTATTGCGTCCAAAGGGGTGACTCGATCCAAAAAAGGGGGGGAGGGGTGAACACCTTTTGCAGAGAACACCTTTCTGCGTAGTTTACTAGTTCTAGCTCAACACCCAAGCAATGCTTTCACCTGTCCAGTTTTACACGGCGATGTCATTGGCGGTAGCAATTGAGGCCCAGTGCATTACTTTGCAACCAGTTTTTAACCGATTCCGTTTTGGACAGTTTTTCTTTTATAAAAGGGGAAATACACGACACCAGCTTGCTGGCGCCATCGAGTGATTGTACCATCAAGTTCGAAGCATATAACATACAAGCATGCTGGTACAATATTTATTTCTTTACAAATGAGGTCCGGAAAAGATCGAAATGAGTAGAAGCGAAATTTCATAATATTTTTACCATTTGGTTAAACATCGGCTTTTTTATTTCACAACTGCAATATTATTAACTTTAATCTTCCACAAACACGGCTTTGACTCATATAGTGTAAGAAATTTAAGCCAAAATACTTTTTACTTGAAAAAAATGAGCTAATTTCACCATTCACGACACCAGCATGCTGGTACAATCATAAAAATATCAAATCGTTTTTGATGTCGCGCCAGCAGCTGGTACAATCACACCACAAGGCCATACACTGTCAATGGGCTGGTACCAACACTTGATGGCGCCATTTTTGGATATTTTTTTCGATTTTTCCTTTCTTGTACAGATTCCATTTTTGTTACATATTTTATTAAAAAAAAATATTGTAAGCTGCACGCAACAATTTGAATACATTAAATTTGAAAACAACTGCCTCCACCGCGATTTGAACTCGCGACTAACGATAGTTGAGTCGGAGGTCTTCTCGCTGAGCTACTTTCGTATTGTACGAGTAGTGAGCATTTGCACATTTATACCGCAAGTTTCAACTGTCCCGCTCTGCATTCCTTTTGCACTAGTTCAGAGATAGTTCTGAGATATGTAGCTCGGAACTAGTGCTTTGTCAGACTGTCTCTAAATTTTACTGCAGGGCTCTTATGCATTCATAAGGTATAGGCTTTCGATGCTTTCTCCTGGTACGAAAAAACGCATGCTTGTTACGTGGGTGCGTGGAAAACATTGATCCCTTATGGATTGACAGGCAGCTAAAATTTAAAAGAATGCATCTTTTTCGTAAATTTATTATAATAAGTAATTAAAAATTTTTGTAAACCGTCCAACGTGTGTCAAGTAATTGTTTAGGCATTTGGACGATCAATAGCTATCACACCATGTTGTCATATGTGAATTCTGTTGTTGTTGTTGTTGTTGTAGCGGCTACAACAACCCCGCCCAGATCGGTTGGTATCTCAGTCGTTGTCGTCAAGTTCCACTAACGGCAACCCTAGGAAGCGTGCAGCTTCTGTGGGGTTTGTCCACAGGGACAAGGCCGTTAGGGTTGTCGGGTTTTCCGGGCATGCGAAGAGATGTTTCGAGTCATGTGGGGTCTCTCCGCATGCCGGACACTCATTCGGCACATCCTCATTCCACCTACTCAGGTAGGAGTTCAACCTGCTGCGGTAGGCCCAGGAAACGAGCTGTTTCGATGGGGTCGGACCAAAGGGAGTGAGGTGTTAGTTGAGTCGGATTGAGCTGGCATGTGAAGAGGTGGTTGGTGTCGTGGGGGGAGTCTCCACATGCCGGGCACTCATTTGGGATGTTTGGGTCGAGTCTGGACAGGTAGCTGTTTAGGCGGCTACAATATCCAGACCGTAACTGAGCCAGGGTAACGCGGGTCTCTCTAGGTAACTGAAGCTCCGTCTCTTCCACAGGTGGTGATTGGGCTCCGATAACGACATTCCTAGGCCGGGAGTCGAGGTAGGTGGAGACAGACTCTCTATGAATGTCGTTAATCGCTCGTCTGTACGTCATTGGGTCCAGTGGTTGGTCTGTGTAGGTCTGGACTGCGTCCTTGTACATGAATAGGTGCCCCCTGACGTGCCTGGGCGGAGGCTCCTCCTCCAGCAGTGGTCTGTTGGGGTGTTCACTTCTGTGACACCCCACAAGAAACTGCTTACAGAGCATCTTGTTGTGTTCCCTTACGGGGAGCACTTGGGCCTCACTGTGTAGGTGATGCTCAGGCGTCATCAGAAGGCACCCAGTCGCTGTCCGGAGTGCGGCGTTCTGACAAGTCTGTAGCTTCGTCCACTGCGTCCAACTAGTCCCCGGCGTCCAAACTGGCGCAACATAATTTAGAACCGGCCGGCCAATTGCCTTGTATGTTGCCAACAACGTTTCTTTGTCTTTGCCCCAAGTGCTGCCGGCGAGCGACTTGAGGACCTTGTTGCGGCTCTGTACTTTGTTGACAACTGCGGTTGTGTGCGCGGAGAAAGAGAGCAGGCTATCAAAGGTAACCCCTAAAATTTTCGGGTTGTTCACCGTCGGTATTGGTGTGCCGTCGACGTGAATGCCTAATTCAAGCCTGACCTCCTTCGTCCAGGTGGTGAAGAGGGTCGCCGTTGATTTCGTTGGGGAGAGGGTTAGGCTCCTTGCAGTGAAGAAGCGAGGAAGGCTGGAGAGATAGCCGTTTACTTTTGAGCAGAGGTCATCAATTCCATTCCCAGACGCCAAAATCGAACAGTCATCAGCGTAGGAGATCAGGGAAACTCCTTCAGGTGGCTGGGGGAGTTTCGAGATATAGAAGTTAAAAAGTAAGGGGGAGAGAACACCACCTTGTGGAACCCATTGTTTTATTCTTCTAGGTTTCGAGGTTTGATCTCTGAAGATTACTGATGATTACCGACCACTCATATAATTCGCCGACCATCGCTTCAGTCCCTGTGGGAGAGAGGAGGCCTCAATGTCTTCTAGCAGCGTGGAATGGCAGACGGTGTCAAACGCCTTTGACAAGTCCAGCGCTACTAGGACAGTTCTCTCACAGGGGCGGTTTCGATTTAGGCCGCGGGTTATCTGGGTGTTTATGGCGTTAAGTGCTGTTGTTGTGCTGTGCACTTTACGGAAGCCATGCTGATGTTTCGCTGGGGTTAGGTGGCAGGTGAAGTATGGGAGCAGCAGGGCCTCAAGTGTCTTCGCGACCGGGGAAAGGAGCGTTATCGGGCGATAAGAGTCTCCTCTGTTGGCGGGCTTCCCCGGTTTCAGCAGTGGGACCACTCTCCCTGATTTCCACACATCAGGAATGATGAGAGTGGTCATAGACAAATTGAGGACCTCCGTGAGGTATGCTACCCCCACAGGCCCCAAATGTTTCAACATCAGCATACAGATTCCGTCGGGTCCAATGGCTTTGGAGGCTTTCGCCTTCCCGATGGCCCCCTTTACTTCACCGCTGGTGAAAACAAGTGGTGCATCGTTTTTGGGCAGTTTGTGCAGCCTCCTGGTCACTCGACGTTTGGCCTTGTCTACCGAAGGATGCAGTGTGAATTGCCGACTGAAATAGTTCGCGCATTTCTTCGGGTCCGATGAGGCGTGACCTTCGAATGAAATTTCCACTCTGTCATCACGCTTCGTCGGGTTGGACAAGGACCTCACGGTTGACCAGAGCTTACTCACACCAGAGGTGAAGTTACAGGCCTTCAAGTGCTCTTCCCACTTTGTCCGCTTGTGTTGATTTACCAGTTGCCGAATCTCCAAATTAAGTTCCCTCAAGCGGGGGTCCCCGGGGTCGACCTGGCGTAGGTGGTCACGCTCATTTGCTAGTACAGCTGCTTCAGCCGGGAAATTTGGGCGGACTTCCGCGATGCGTCCGGACGGTATGAAGCGAGCTGCTGCGGCTGTGACTACCTTGCGGAACTGGCGTTCGCCAGCATGTACGTCTGTGGGTGTGGGGAGGGCGGCGAAGCTGCTCTCGGTAACTTCCGCGAAGCCGTTCCAATCAGCTTTGTTGAAGTTGGTGTAGGTTCGGTGATCCGTGGGAGCAAAGTCGGTGGGCTTATTGATCGAGATGATTATGGGCAGATGGTCTGATGCTAACGTTAGCATAGGTCGCCATGATGTGCTATTTATCAGACCAGCGCTAGCAATTGTTACGTCTGGCGAGCTGCTGCAGCTGCCCACAATCCTGGTGGGGGCGTCGGCGTTCATGGTGCAGAATGTCGAATCGTCTATCTGCTCAGCCAAACTGTTTCCCCTCCGATCATTGGCCAGGCTTGAGTGCCAAAGATCGTGGTGCGCATTGAAGTCACCTACTACCAATCGGTTTTCGCCTCTGAGTAG